AGCGTTCTCCGCACCACGATTGGGTAAGGATACCCGCCATTGGCAGAAAGAAATTTTTCGCAAGTCGTGTAAGACGCCGGCCGAGCCGAGTTCTCATTGTCGTCCGAATTTTAGTAGGACACGAACAAGCTGGCATCTTGCCAGCCCCAGCCTACTACCGCGTCTTTTAAACTGCCAAAAGGTTTTTGCGCGGTCGGTTTCCAGGAACGATGAACTCCGTTGGCCGTTGGGGAGGGAGGGGGTTGCTGTAGTACGGAATTCTCGTCTCTGGACCCGATTTTTCGGGTAGTGGCTGAGTATTGTTGCCTGGAAATGAGTTTTTTGAGCCTATCCCCGATGGCTTTACACAGATTTGCCGGGGAGGGAGCGAAGAGTGAATTCCAGCTACCTCGTTCCACCTCAAAAAAGAGTTATTTCCGTTTTTTTGGGGGAAATCTGAAAGTATCGCTCAGGTGAGGAGCTACTGTGCTTCACGGATTTACCCTACAGAAGAAGCCCTTTTTTGTCTAAAAAAATTTCCGCAACGATTTCCCCGGTGGAAATTTGGTCCCAGGGACTTAACTTTTTTTGGCCCAAGAACATTTCTCAGCAAGATTTGGCCCGCTAAAACTGCTCGGCCAATCACAGCATGGATATCTGCCATGTTAGATTTTGATATTACTGAAATGCTCTTTTCGTACATAAGATCGCCCACTCATACATAAGAGATCGCCTTCGGCCTGGATCTCCGGTTAGTATCCACCATCCGTTCCACTTATATGTGCTCTCGTTAAAAATCAAAAGAAAAAATCTTTAGCCATGAAATGACAAAAAAAAAATCATTAGAAAAAATCATCAGAAGTCATTTTTCTAAATTTACTCGGAATTGTGATTACTCTAATTTGAGGTACTCACACCCATTTTTCAATTGATATTAATATTTTTGGCAGCATACAGTTACATGTATTTGTAAATAGCTAATTATTATCTTAAATATTTTGGATTATCTCAAACCATTATTCGAAATCTCCCTCAAATCGTTACTCAAAATCATAAAAAAACAAAGGAAAAAATCGTTAGCCATGAAATCACAAGAGAAAAATCATTAGAAAAAAAATCATCAGAAAAAAAATTATCAGAAAAAATCGTTAGAAAAAAATCGTCAAAAAAATCATTTTTCTAAATTTACTCGGAATTGTGACTATTCAAAATTTTGCCTCAAATTTGCTAAAATTGGGAAAGTGATGGTACTAAAACTCAAAAAATGGTACCAAATCCAAATTCTGCGAAATTAAAATCGGTACCTTGGCAGTATAAGGATAGCGAAGCTCACGTGAGGTAATGCCATCGAGACGACTGTGTAGCGGTGTTGCCATTCAGAGCGTTTGTAACAATGAGCAATGAGAACGTGATCGACGTGAAGTAAGGGGCCAGTGGCTGGGAGGGGCGGTACCTGGCGTGGTCATTGGCCAACGGCCTAGCGGTGGGCGGGGCCAGACGTGATCGCCGTTTGCACGTCGCAAATGGACCATCATAGCACCCCACGCCAGTGTTACAGTCTGTTTCTCCAGCTATGCAGTTGACAACTTTTCCAGTTGCTTTGACCAGTGCTGCTTCGCCCTGATGGGCAGTCTGCTGGCAATCCTGACATTCGTTTTGTCTCTTGCGGGAGGAGGATGAATTACCAATTTCTTCTGATTGAAACATTTGACAAAGCTTTGGTTATCTGTGTGTAAACGGAGAAACACCACACCGTCTCAAACACTGGTCACTTCCAGACTACGATGAAGTGATTTGTGATTAGTAGATGGGATCTGTACTTACATAAAATGACTACTGATCCACCATATTAGGGATTTGACCGATGCTGCATTGCCTGGTAGTCAGACTTTTGACGTTTTTGTCGTTCTTTTCGCCTCCTGAAGGGAGATTGTCAGTTCCTGGATTCAAAATGATGAAAACACGAGAGAAGCGGAGTGACACATTCGTCTTCATTGTTAAACTCCTATTACTAATGATCAGAAGACATAACACAGTAAAGCACTACAGCACATGCAAAACTATAAAACAAGCAATTTCACAGGGCGGTGCACCTTGGTAGACGTGGGAATCATCAGTACAACCTCCTATCCGCTACATATATATGTATAAATATGTATATATGTGCATACATATATATATATATATTTGACTACTCGTAAAGGACACAGGGATAAAACAAAAGGAGACAAAAAGAGAAACAACAGAAAAAACATTTGCGATGTGCAATGGCAAAATTACATACTACATACAACTTGCAAAAAAACCCCGTCCACTTCCCAATCTAGTAAATGACAATTTTAAAACTACAAACTAATGCAGAAGCAAAGAAAAAGGGTCTGTTTTCCCCCTTACTTCTTCTGTAATCCACTAGACCTAAGTATTTCACTAATCAATTAGCTTAAAAAATTTATACAAAATTTCGCAAAAAAAAGACATATGCCAATTATCAGAACTAATACTGGTACAATAAAAATTTCTACAAACGTTCAAAATCGCATTTTCAAGAGCACAACAAAAAATTCTCACAATAATATCAGCCTATAAAAATATTTTTGCAGTTTTGAGATGACCTCAAAAAATCCCAAAAAAAATACTAGAAATTCGCGAATCCACAGCATATTATCTGTTGAAAATATCTGGGAATGGTACTGCATAATAACTACTAATGGGTTTCATATTTCATGCCACCTGTTGGTGGCATATGTGGAGGACCCATTGTAACTCCTTGATGAACGTTCATATTCGGTACTGAAAGGCCGCCGTGTGAATGCTGTGCTTGCATCATTGGGGCATTTGTTGCTTGTGGACCGGGATTTGGACGAGGAATTTTCTGCAGGATTGCAACGAGTTGTTCTTTCTCATCAAATGTTTTCCAGACGCTATACAAATTGATGATAATTTTTTGAATTTCCAATATCTGCAAGCAAAAAAAAAGTCAGATTTAAATTTCTGAAATTTTTTAAGTTTGTTTGGAGTTACAAGAATGTTCAGTGAATGAAACAGGAAAAGTTGCCAGATGCAGCGATGGCGTAAAAAAAGAGAGCTATTCGTCAGAAGACTAAATTTTCATTAAATTACATTAAATTAAAAATTTTCATCCGTGAAAACACGGCAAAAATATAGTTTATAAAATACCAATCCTGAAGATTGTAGAGTTCCACACAACTGCGCTAGGTGTGTGGGAACATCCCAGTAAAATCACTTATATAAAATTCCTTCGCAGCGACTATTTAAACAGTTTTGACATTTTTGGCATTTAGCCAAGACACTAATTTTTTAGCACAAGCCATAAGCCACTAAGTGATCTGTTTGTTAATCCCTGCTTCCAGTCATAATCACATATTTCGCCCAAAATTAACAAATCCCTCTTTCATATCCTCCGAAACTCCAAATGTAAGAAAAGGGCAGTCACTTACCTTTTCAAAATCGACAGCAAGTTCAGCGAACCAATTTTTTAGCTCTTTATCACGATTCGTCCAAACCGATGCAATCAGAATGCATGCTAAAATTAATACAAATGTCAGATTTCCAGCCTCAAGTCGGATTTTTAAACAAATTTTTTTAAATTTAAACGAATTAAACGAATTCCTAGAAGTCGAATTTTCGAATAAAAAGAAAATATCATGAGGATCCTATTTAGCTAGTATCCCAAAAAGAGCAAAAAGGGACCTCAAAAAAAGTAACGGCCTACTCAAGACAGTAATAATTGGCCAACGCACGGGCTGCCCGTGCGAAGATGCGTTTTTTGCATGGTTCCCCGCAGTT